GAATCTTGGAAAGTTGTGCAAACACTAACCCTTAAAATGTGTGCAACTTATCATTCCTATGAGGAAGAAGAGACTTATAAGAGATTAAGCAATTCATACAAGTTCACACCTCCAGTCAGTTGCAGAATGAGGAACACCACACTGATTTTGTTACCAGTTGCCTGCTGGTTCTGTAGACCTTAGGAGAATTTGTCCCAAGGGTTTACAGCAGCAGTTCCCAATCTGTGGTACATGTACCACCAGTGGTATGCAGACAACTTGTCAGTGGTACATGTTGACAGATTTACTATAATTACTTTATATGACAAAATTTGCTGGTGGTACTTAAAGGTTGTATTGTTTTAAATTGGTGGTGTGTAATCTGTCAGAGTTTGAGAACTGCTGATTTAGAGAAAATTGCTGCTGTTGCTATACAGGAGTACAAAGGCACTGAGGTGGCAAAAGCAAACATTTCCCTCCCTAATGCACAAGGACAGGTATAGGAAGGCTTCTGGGGTCTGGGGAGCAGTGTATAGAAGTCAAAAAGCAAGTAGAGAAGGAGACACACTTCTTCCCCTCCAGGGGAAAAGCAGTATTTCAATACCAAATGAGTTGATCAGTAATACAGCATTAAGAAATCCCAATATCTTGCCTGCATTGTACACCTTTTGTGGGGACAGAGCCCCATGTCCCCAAGTATTGCAATCTCTCAGCCTGTAAGATAGTAGCAGATGGCAATGTCAGAATACTGTACCTCCTGATAGGAAATGAGCACCTCACAGTTCTTCTCATCCTTCCTGGCTTCAATCCTCTTATACAGCTCCACCATGGTGAGGTACATAATACCAGGGCTCTTCTCAGATCCCAGCATAGTGTAGGTTTTTCCTGCCCCTGTTGCACCATAGGCAAACACTGGAAAGGGAAACATAGGATATACTCGAAATTCAGCCTTTGCTTTTAAGGCCATTAAGAACCATTACAATTTAGTTTGACATTGTGCATGCTGGCCAGAGAATTTCACTCATTAATGCCTGCACCAAGACAGTACTTGAGCCAGGGCCTTTTATTTTTATATGTAAAAAAATCCAATCTTGATTTAAACTGGAAGTGACAGAGAGCCAGTTAAAGCCTTAGAGAAAGTATATCAGTGATTAGTTGCCCTCACTGCTAAAAATGTGCACCTGTTCTCCAATTTTATCTAGTATTAGCTTTCAATCATTTGGAATCATTCAGGCTTTGTCTGCTAGATCAAAAAGCCTTCTGCTCTCAGGTCTTCCCATGTGGACACTTGTGATCATGCTCAAGCCATTGTGTTAACCTTCTCTTTAAAAAGTGAAGTAGACAGAGTTTCCCCAAGTCTGTCACTAGGCTGCAACTTTCCAGATCTCAAGCCATTCTCTGAACCCTTTCCAATTTTTCAATATCTTCTTTGAAGCACTGACACCAGAAAGGGCATGGCATTAGACTGAATTTGCTATTTCTCCCCATTAGCAACACTTTGTACCTTGATACCATCTCAAAACTTTACACACAAAGCCTCACACTATCCTTTGCAAGATGGATAAACTGACAAAGTCCAGTACATGCCAAAGGAAAAACTCAGTCATTTTAGACTTCCTCAGAGCTCAAAAAAGGACTCGGTGGACATGTTTACATGTTCATTAATGAACCGTAATTACAGCGCATTAAGTTTAGCACCTGTAATAACTACTGCACAGTAGTGCTGGTGCACTTTTTTTACGTGACGCTAATGTGCAGTAGACTAATTCTACTGCACATTCGTGCATTAGCATGGCTTTCGCTGTGATGTGCTAATACGCAGTAGAATTAGTCTAGTGCACTTTGAGAATCTTGTGTAGACATGCCCAGTGTTTACTAAGTCCTTGACAGCCTTGAGTAGAGTAGAACAATAACTTCCTGTGTCTAATTTTGACACTCCTGCTAAGAGCTCCTAGAAAGATGCTTGCCTTTCTGCAGCAGCATCTAACTCTTGAATCGTTTGGTTTGTGGTCCCCAGATCCTTTGCCATCATACTGCTGTCTAACCAGATGTTCCCCAGCTTGTATTTGTGTATTTGATTTCTCCTTCCTAAGCATAGTACTTTGCACTTCTCTTTAGTAAATTTCATATTACTGATTTCAGGTCATTTACTCTAATTTGTCAAATCATTTGAATTTGGGTCCAAAGTGCTTGCAACCCTTCTCATCTGATGTCATCTGCAAGTATTATAAATAGGGGTGCAACGATAGAGATTTTTTGGGCCAATACTGATAGCTGATTTTTAAGGGGGCATATCGGCCGATAACCATCCAATTTCTGATACAGCATGGAGAGCTGCATGCAGCTGGTAAATCTGTTGTGGTGCAAGGGGAGGGGGGAGTCATGGGACATTTGGGGGCAGATTAAGGGCCCTGCAGTGAGGGAGGGAGTGGGGCTGGGGCAGGTGCTGCCCAGCTGGGGCAGAACAGGGCATGGGACAGAGCCACAACTCGTCTGGGGGGGTGCAGGGGTGGCTCCCACAGCTGCACAAACCCTGGGAAGGCGTGGGGGGGGGTCCTGGATCTTCATGGGGTGGGGTAGCTGCTGTGCTGGGCTGGGCCAGGCTGCGCTCAGGGTGGGTGGCAGCAGCGCTGGGAGGGGAGCTACATGGCGGGGCTGCAGCCACTCCAAAATTCACTGTAGCCCCAATCCCTCCTTCTACCACCCGCCCTGAACACAGGCTGGACCAATGCCCGCCCTGCAGGAAAGAGCCTGGCACAGCAGCAGTCCTAGCCCACAGCCTGCCCTGCCCCGCCCCACACAGATCTGGGGAGACACGCCCCTCTGTGCCCTCCAGGGGTGGACACAGCTGTGGGAGCTGTGCCCACCCCTCCTCCCAGCCACTTGCAGCTCTGTCTCATGTCCTGACCTGCCCTGGCTGGGCAGCGCCTGCCCCAGCCCCAGCCCCAGCCCCAGCCCCACTCCCTCCC